TCATCGCTGGGACCCCCCCAAAAATGGTTTTTGGGGTGTCTGAGGGCGGTTTGGGGTGTGGCAAGGGCAGTTCAGGGTGTGCCGAGCCGTGAATTTGGCAAAAATGGAGACGGCGGGTTTCCTCGGGTCAGGTTAGGAGGTAATAAAGTAGAATTTAGTTAAGCAAAAAAAAAAGAAAAAAATTTTCTGCCTGTCTCAGCGTTTTTTTTTTCTCTTTGGAGAGGGAGAAGATGTTCGCGGTGTTTCCCACCAGGACGGAAAAGCCACGGAGCGCGGGGAAAACGGGACGCAGGCGGCTGCGGGGTACGGGGGTTCCCTTTTTTATTCCTCGTCCCACAACACCACCTCAAAATCTCCCCCTCTCCGTCACTGTGACGCAAAATTCCCCTTCTCCAGCCTCCCGGCAGCCAGGAGCTGGCACAAACGACACCAGATTTTGGGACAAAAACCAGCCCCAACCTTTCCCGGCAGAAACGAGCGCCGATTCCCTCAGGATGAGGCTCCCTTGCGCCCTGAAATGTCCCTTTTTTGGGGTCCCCTTCGCAGGGGGAGACATCGGGAAGGATCAGTCCCACCCCAATGCCACCCTACACCCCTTCAATGTCACTTGATGTCCTTCGATTTGTCCCCAAAATGAGTTTTCCCTCGGGTACGGTCGTCCCTCGCGGTGGAGGTAGACGTCGCGATCCTTCACGGCTCCTCACCGCCGCAAATTCCGGGTGTTTTCCCCGACCCCGCAATGACGTTGGGTTTGTCCCCAACTAACTGGGTCCTAGAAGGGGACAATGGTTGGGGGACGAGGGGAAAAACAGCCTTGGAGAGGTGAATCCGGCGATGTTTGGTGAGGTGGGAGCTTTGGCTAAAAGCTTCGCCGCATTCCGGACACTCGTAGGGCTTCTCGCCGGTATGGACGCGGCGATGGCGCTCGAGGTGGGACGCCCACGCGAAACTTTTGCCGCATTCGCCGCAGGTGAAGCTTTTTTGAGCGGCGTGAGCTCGGCGATGGACGAGGAAATTGGGAACTTCGCCGAAACGTTTGCCGCAGTCGCCGCATTTGTAAGGTCGGTCGGGAGAATGAGTTTTGCGGTGTTGGAGGAGGTGAGCTTTTTGGGAAAAACGTTCGCCGCAATTCCCGCAAGGAAAAGGACGTTCGCCCGTATGCACCCGCCGGTGCCGTTCCAGGTGCGACGCCAATCGCCGCAACGATGGGCGCGTTCCCTCCGGTGACACCGTTGATGCCGCGCCAAAGCCGGCCCGGCTCGG